TTGCCAAAATGATGTGATGCCCACCGAAAGCTACTGGAACTGCGTCTTCCTTTGACAAGGCCCTCCAAATCCCAGGCTTGATATGTGCTACAAGACCAAAATCACTCTAACTGCCCCCAAAGGGTGCCTATGTCATTTTTGCAGAGGTTGAAATTACTCTCTGAAGCCCCTGGAGGTATTTTGGGACATTTTAAAGTAGCAGACGACTAGCAGAAGCAAACTGGTTTAGTGGAGAAGGCAGTAGCTTCACATCCCAGTCTGTCTCTTAGTAACTGCGTAACCTCAGGACATTTGCTCTGCTCTCTGAGCCTCCGGAAAGCATGGGTAAGAACAACTGCCACAGAGCTGGCGCTAGTGAATCATCCAGCACAACGCCGTAAACGAATTACCTTCCCCCTAAAACTGTTTATTGGATACCGTGTTCTATGGAAAGGCAATTGGTCACAACACCTTCTCTATAGTGAATGAATGAATGAATGAATGAATGAATCCTGATCTCTTCCTTAGTAAGAATCCAAAGTCTAAAAACAATACAAAACCATTTTCAAACAATTACCACAACCTCTGTATAGGTGCATATATTAAGTGCAGTATCTTTCTGAACGCATCTGGATTTCTTTATATCTCCTCTCTCTCTCTCTCTCTCTCTCTCTCTCTCTCTCTCGCATACATGCACCATCATTCGCACTGAATCCTGCCACAATCTCCTCTCTCTCATTCCCAAACATGTGCCTAACACTTGTCCAGATAATAGATATCTATCCTCTAGCCAGTTAATTTGAACAATCAAAAAACATGAGGATTTTATAGAGATAAGGCACCCGAGAGAGTGAAGATGCCGGGAGCTACTTGTGCAGCAAGGGAAGACCTCAGCGGTTAAGAAGCAGAAGACAGCAGACAAAGTCTTCTCTGTTTTCATCACGTGCTGGGCTCCAAGATAGGTGGAGGCCGGCTTCTTGTAACACCAAATTTCACGTCGCTTTTTATGAGCAGAGGGTTCATTTCTACATTGCACCTCTGGATTTAAAAGAGGAAATTTAAACCTCGAAATAATGTTTTTAGCTGCACAAAATGTCTGCCAAACTAAGCTCTGACCGACTTCTGGTTTTCGGAGTCGCGGCCGCCCAGTTTTCTCAGGTTCCCAGTGCTGGGCCGAGCTCACTGGCTGGTGCCATCTGTCTCCGCTCCGGTCAGGAAAAGGGGTGAGAAGTCGGAGCACCACTTCTTGGGTCTGATTGGTGGCTTGGGATGCCCCAAAGATCCGGACAATCGCTTTAGACACATTACCTGGATGGGGCTGGCTCCTTTGGGCTGTACCCAGGGACAGCACCGATGTGTTTTCCCAGCATTTGGGGAAAAAAAATAATTCTAGCAAGAACGGAGTGAAAAATCATGCAAACCAGCAGTAAGTCTGGGCCTTCCTTCCTTAGCCCCTTAAAAGACCATTTTGTAAGGCTTCTCACTGTCTCGCTGGGCTTCCTAAGTAAACTATGGAACACTTTGCAGCTTGAACCTACTGCCCCCCCCCCCCGGTGCCCCAGATTTCAGGCCAGTGCTTGACTTCCCACCTTCCCCTTCGAATAGAAGAACCTCCGCTTTTTGTCCCACACGCTTTAAGACGATATCCATCACCAGCTAACAAACAGGTTATTCTTGGACCCCAGCTGGTTCTGGCAAGATGCTCGGGTCTACGCAGGCGAGGACCACTGAGAATAAAATGATTTGGCTCTGCTCACCATGGCCACTGCCCTTGTCATCCTCAACATTCCCACAGAAATGAGCTCATTCCACCTTTGAAACATTTTGGAGCTTAGAAGTTTCAATCGGGCTAAGTCGATTTGGGGGGTGTCGGGCTTTTACACTGTAATTATGTGCAGGACTTCATGCCACCTATCTCCTCCCAACTGTAACATTTTACTTCTTTTTTAAGCATACGTGGAGGTTAGCTTTTTTTTTTTCTTTTAATACTTGTTATGAAATAAGATACGAGCTTATGCTCAGCCTCAGGTACCTTTCTGCCAAAAGGCTGGACCAACACAAACTAAACAGGACTATTTTCTTTCTCCAAAGTACAGTTTTGACTATTACATACCCTCTTAATGTACATACATAAAACCAGCTCACAACCAAAGCTCCCTGCAGGTCAGCTGAACTCCTAACGAGATTTTCCTTCATATAATCTGATTAACAAATGTTAGCTAACCCAACTCCTAAGAGGTTCCAAAGGAAAAAAAAAAATAACTCAAAGCAGCACCAAATAGTAAAATGAATCGACAATCTTTTGGTTTTCTCCTTGCTTTGTCACGTGTTACCTCAGCAAAGATCTGTTTCACTTGATTATATGTGTGTGTGTGTGTGTGTGTGTGTGTGTGTATAATTTTATTCCTCACCGGAGGATACTTTTCGATTTATCATCAGATAGAGTGGGAGGGAAGGGGAGAGAGAGAGACAGAGAGAAACATCGATGTGATAGAGCCACATCGACTGGTTGCTCTACACACGACCCGAATAGGGCCAAGGATACTGCAACCGAGGTACGTGCCCTTGGCTGGAATCTACCTTCGACTCATTGGTCTGAGGGCTGATGCTCTAACCACTGAGCAACTGGCCAGGGCTGTTTCACTTGATTATAGACATGTGCTCTAGAGGCAGACAAAAAACAATGGCGAGTGAGTTCCAGCTCTGCTCTTTGCTAAAATACGCCTTGGCAAGCTACTTAACTCTGTGGACCTCAGTTTCCTCATCTGTAAAATGCAGGTAAAAGCTCTCAAAAGATTCTCCTGAGGATTAAATGAAATAATGCTGATTTAGATAAGTGCCACAAATAAAGTGTCCATAAACATTAGTTGTTATTGCTGATATGATCCACCTGTTAAATAGCATATTTAACATCTCTCTTCCAACCGAAGTATAAACATGCCAAGCAGCCTCCTGGCAGTCGGGGGCGCTCTGAAATCTATGGACTGCAGTGAGCCCCGTGGAAATTTACAAGAGCATATGCAAATAGAGATTTGGTCATCCATCTATTCTTACTCGATTTTATCAGTACAAATGTTTAGGAAGCAATAATGACTATGACAACCTGGGCGCCATGATCCCGAACTCATGCACAGGTCACATAACATGTCACTGAGCCTTTAGGCTAGCAAGAGAGCTCAGAGGCCTATGAATAATTTGAGTTATTCTCCAGAATCCTGATTTAACACATTTCGCAAAGGTTCCTGACAGCTTTCACCAAGGCAGGTACCTCCAAGTGTTACTTCAAGACATAAGTGACCCTACTATCCTTCTAAACGTAATCAATACTTTTCTGAGCTATGTATTATTTTCACTTGAATTCCAACTGATGCAATTTTTTTTTTTTCTATTCAGGGTCACTCTTTACCCTTAAAGTGCAAGATTCTAACCTCTATGTGATTATCAGTAAGGCTGCACTTTCAGGGAAAAGGACCCTTTTCCACCAGGCTGTGGTACCGAGAAGGGGAATGCTGTGTGGGGAATTTGTCATGTTATTTGGGAAAAATGTGCAAAACCCAAACTGTAAATTTAAACTTTATACATAGTAATCTCGTCGAGGAGAAAAACGATATTTTCACATGTGCTTGGAGCTCCAGGCACATTTAAATATTAGTCAGAGGAATTTCCTTTTAAGAGATTATGATAAAATAATTCACTCATAATATAAAGATTAAGAGAAACTAAAAAGGAGATTATCTCCCCTCCCCCCCAACACACACACTGCATTTGTAAATATATAACTGAGTCAGCATTTAAATGCAAAGATTCTTGTCAGCAGGTCCTTTAGTGAAAGATCATTAATGGCAACTCATCAACACAAAATCTGAAAGCCTCTCTCTCTTCGCTCTTTTTACGAAGGCAGCGGCATTTCCTTCTCAGCAAACATAAGGCATTTTCATTTCTGATTCTGTTGATTCTTAGTGTTCAGGACCTGATAATCATTTGATACAGGCATTCACCTTCACCCATTCATCATTTCGCAACATTGACCTCACCTCTTGTCATGAAAACGTTCGGGTAGTTTAAACCCAGATGGCTTGGCTTTCACCTAAACAGAGAAGATCCCTTCTCCATTTCCACACAGAATGATCTGATAACAAACATCCATCTCTCTCGTTGGAGCTCAACGTTTGATGGCCTTCATGTATTTCCAACAGGGTTTTGCGGTGTGTAGTTATTAATCAAGATTTGCCAAAAGCGATTGGCATGTAAAACTCTCTTAAAACCAAAACCTTGCTCTTTGTGGGTCTATATTTCATTTCAGAAATTCTTATTCATACAACTTAATCTCCCCCGTGTGGTTACTTACTAGTTCTTATCATCAACTATTAAGCTAAAATAAATGGAAACAAATTCTTTTTTTGAATCTACTGCCGCTGCCAGGGTTAACGAAGCAGCTGACGGCCAAGTGTCATTCTCTACTGAGGACTGAATGCCCTTCCTGACCCCTGCTTCCCAATCAGAAATATAAAGACTGCTTTTCAGAGTTCAGGCTACAGCAGTCAACGGAATCCCAGATTCATCTTATCCTCATGGTTGTCCTTCGTAACTGTCACTTCTCTTTCCCCTTGTCACACACCTTATCACTGGTGAGATACCTACGTGTTATCTTCCCATTTCACACTGAGTTCTGCTGACAGAACCAAGGCAGAGAGCCGATGGCGCCTACGATTTGCCGGCCATAGCCCTTCCTGGGAACACACAGTCCGAATGGTAATCATCACCGAGACAATGCCATACTAAGCCCATCTTAAATTTATTTCTGTAAAGATGGTGTCGAAGATAAGAATTCCCAGCCTGGTGAAATAGAAACCGCCAAAGTCCATAAAACTCAGAAATTCAACTGAATTCAATTCACCGGCTAGGTGCAGTTCTGTAATGACTAAAAACTATTTTTAAGATCTGGTTATATTGTTACACTTAATGGATTCACCTCGTCAGAGGGAGCAATTGGCTTCCCAGGACCTGACCCCCTTACTTACCAAGCAGACACACATTATACAAGGGTTGTCCGTGATAAATGGAATCTGGACGACTTCACCTTCATTTTCACATTTTGCAACAGAACCTGAAATGAAGGATAAAAATTAATGTAACCTTAGCTTACTACAATAATACAAAATAAAAAATTTTACACTAATTCTTTTTGAAACAACTACCCAAATTTCAGAAATTCCTAATGAGTTTTAAATGATCAACACCCCCCAAATATCTCCCAGCCCCCCCAAACCAAAAATCTATTCAAAATAGTTTTATTTGAACAGGTTTTGTTTTTTTACAAAAACACATATACATATATTTTATATATATAGTATATATGATATATAATATATTTTTTCCACACTATATATACTATATGTGAGAACAGAATATGTGTATACGGTTTAAGCACAATTCTAAGTGTTTCATTGGATCTTTAGTAATACTCCTCCTTTAGGAAGGCATTTCAACTCAACAGGCACCCCCATATGCAAAAAAATTTAAATTGGCCATTAGGGCAGATTTTGAATTTGAACAAAATTCAGGACTGTGTCAAGAACAGGCCTTTAAATGAATCCGCCTCTTATTGTCTTGATTTGAAATCACTTTTTGAAACACAATCTTCTTTCCTCTTCTTAGAAATGGACTCAATATTTCCTTCTCTGCACCAGGTGTCAGTAAAGTATGCCCTCAGAACGGCAGTTGAGGTCTTCACCTGCCTGAAAACATGTAATTACTATATCCTGCTACTGTTACCCTTTTAAAATATGATAGTTTCTTTAAATTCAAGGTCTGAAGAGTGAGTTCTTTAGAAAGCACTCCTGACCCAGGCTATGGTGGAACCTTACAGAGTCAGAAAGAAGGATGTGTGGAAAACGGTGCGAATTGTTCCTTAATTGTACAAGGGAGAGGAGATCAAAATAAGGAGTGAGGAAAACATTAAAAATATAGATATTTCTTAAATCCAGATAGAAGAATTGCTATCACTGTATTGATGTCAACACCCTCTCGGCCCTCCACCCTTTAACCGACTCACTGCCCCCACCCCTCAACTCCACCGGCTTCGCTTCATCCCCACCGGCCAGAGAGGGGCAGGCGCCTAGGTGCTCGCTCCGCACCCTCCATCCCCGGGCGAGCCAGCGCCGCCTCTCCCAGGGACCACGCCGGCGTCCGGGAGGGCCCGTCCCTCCCGCCCCCTCTCCTACCTGTCAACAGGGAGGAAGCCAGAGGCATGGGGCCCCCCGAGCAATTGAGCAGCAGCAAGACGCAGCAGGTAATCCCAGGCGAGCGCCGGCAGGGACGCTCAGCCACAGCCCTGACGCCGGAGAACCAGAGCATCGTCACCTGGAGGGAATCCCGGGCGACTGCAGGTCCCGCGCCGCCGCCTCTGCTCCGCTACTGCCGCTCGCAGTCAGAAGGGCTCTCAGCGGGCGAGTCAGGAGACAGTCCGCGAAGGAGGGAGGCGGGCGCCCGGGAGCGGGCGGGGGGGCGGCGGAGGCGGGAGAGGGAGGCGAGGGGTGGGGGGCGCCCGGGAGGAGGGGTCCTGCGGCCAGGCTCCTCCAATGCGGCTTTTTTAGGGAGTTGCTCCCTGGGCTTAGTCGTCGGCCTCCCCACGCCAGATAGGGGGCCGGGAGGGGGGTCGGAGCAGCCGGAGATAGCAGACCGGCCTGGCAGCGCTTCCCGCGGCGCACCGCCGCCCCGCCGCCGCCGGCTGCAGCTACTGCCCGGGGCGCTGCCGCGGCCGCCGCGTCCTCCACGCCAGCACCCCCTCCGCCCGCCGGCCTGGCCGGCTCTCCGCCCGGCCGGCGCGCGCGCTCGCTCCCGAGCCGGAGACCGGCGCACCGGGCGCCTCCGGGAACCCGCTGGGGGCGCCCCGGCGCAGGGGCCCCGCGCCTGGGCCCCGCCTCAGTAGGGCGTCCAGCTCGCTCCGCAGCCCCTCGGGGGAGGCCACCCGCCCTGGGGCGCAGATCTGAACCGGGCAGGCGTGTCTCCACCGCCCCACGCATTCAGTGCCTCCTCCCTTTCCCGGGGGAACCCTCCCCTAGCGGGGGATGCCACACCACCCCTGCTCACGCCCAGGTGCCCCAATTCTAATAAGGGAGCAGAAAGTGGGGCTCAGGGGTGCCTCACCACCCCTACTCAGCTCCCAGGTGCCCCAGCTTTGAGAGGAGCGGCGAACGGGGCACAGGGGTGGGGATGCAACTTTTCACCCTCTGCTGTGCTTCCCTCTGGCGGGGGGACGACAGTGGACTCGGCGGCTGAGCGGACCCAGGGGTCGGGATCAGCGCGCTGTGCTTCTGTGTCTGCGCGTCCTGACACTGCGGAGGACAGACGTGGAAACGACACGCAAGGACGGTTAATACACGCACAGAGGCTAACGCTTTTCGCCCCGAAAAAAAGAGGAGCAGTCGCTCCAAGACTCCTCCCTTCCACCCTCCGGCGGCGGACCCGGGCGGGGAGATGCTGTTTGACTAATCATTCATTCACCCGAGAAAAAGGGAGGCACCCGCCGGGCCGCTAACCTCGCGGGGGCCTCCACCGAGGCCTGGGCAGCTGGGAGCCCGGCCGCCGCCGGGGCCCCGCCTGCGCCCTGCTCGCCTCGCAGCCGCGGGAGTCGGGGTATCAGACTCCTACCCCCGCGCATCCTCCCGGCCAAATCTCGGCCTCCCGCCCAAGCCGTGCTACCCTCTGCTAAAGGAGGTGCTGCAGTGGAAATCATTTTTGTAATCAAATTATGATGGCTCAGGGTGGGAATCAGAGGGTGCTCGGGAAGTGTTGGGACCTGATGACCTCAGAGCTGACCGTAGGTAGCTGGCTTCCTCTCCCGAAGGGTGGAAACTGGGTCCCGCAAGCCGGTCCTTCGGGGTTGGCCTGGGCGGGTCCAAAGTGCTCTCACTGGCTGGCCAAGCGCTTTCCTCAGCCCTGGGCCGGACGCACCTCCTCGCAGTCTCCCTGCGAAGTGGGTGCCTGAGTTGGCAGAGCCTATACCCTTGAAAATAAATTAGCCTGTTTGCTGACACATTTAGTCTACTTTCATCTTAACCCCTCCCCGCTTGCGGGGGGGGGGGTTGTTTATTTGTTTTCATTTTTTTGAGTGGTTTAGAGGTTTCCCTTAATTAATACAGCATTGCCAACATCCCGGCACGCCAGGGGCTCATAGGAGCGCACTGCTCTGCCTGGGAAAGCAGGAGACGGAGGCTGTCATCAGCTGGGCTCGCTTCATTTCCTGCTCACAACAGATTTTTAGGGTAAAACTTAAATTAAAAGAGATGAAAGATGATGTGTGGTTGTTCTTCCCCTAGCCCCAAATAACCACCGTGGCCAGGCAGCTTCTTAAAAATCAGAGTGTACTTAATGTATTTACTAATCATAAAGAAAGAGGGGGTGTAAAAAGAGGAGAGAGAGAGAAACCCAGCCTGGCCTCCCAATCTCTAGTGACTGATTTAAAAACTAAAATTAAGAGTTGTTACTACAGATAAGTACCCTCGGCGGAAACCACTGTCTCCTCAGTCTAAAACGGTTCTCTTGGCCTGGGGTTTTTTGATAAAGATGTTAGTAGTGACTTCAGGACAATGGAATAATGGAGAGGCTGGCTGACCTTTTATCGCCCTAGACTTAGCAGTGGACTGGGATTCACACACATTATGGAATTGCAAGACATTTAAAGAGCTGCACGCGACTTATTCTGACATGTAGTCCCTGGCACCAGCCGCACATCCTCAAGGTTTTCTCAAGGTTTTGCATGACCAGATTCTTCACAATGGAATCGAGGGGTGTGTGGCATTCTCTACTCAGGCGCCTGGGGCTTTGGGGTGCATTGGGACTCTCCCTGAAGATACAGATCCTAAAACCACCTGAAAAACCTTTTTGTCTGCTCGGAAGTTTACCAGTGGGGAAGAGGTTACAGCCTTTGGCACATGCGTCTGTCTCCCTGTTTGTTCTAATCGGCTGCCACCAGTGACCTCTCTTGCTGCCTTCTCAGCAAATGGGCCCTACTTCTGAAAGCATCCTTCTCCCCACCGGGGGAGGTTTAGCAGGTTTCTGCATACCCACTGCGGCTGCCGCCACCGCTCCACGTGACTGGCCTCTGTCTACACGAAACTGAAACATGCTGGGGTCAGAAAAGAAAGGGAAGAGCTAGCAGGCCTACTCTGAAAGACACATCGCTCGACTTTCACTTTTGAAAGAAGTGATGGTACTATCTGCATCCAGAATGCCTTCACTGAAATAAAAACATGAACAAAATGTGTTTGGCTCTGTTTATGACACTTCTCAAGGGGAAGGAGGTAGTGGGTCCCAAAGACCATATTTAACTCAGGGCCTGACCCAGTGTCAGGCAAAGCGCCGTCTCGTCCTCTTTAAAGTGAAATATAGAACCGAATCAGATTTAAAGGGAACGCGTTCTGTACAGGCTGGAGAAATCCTCTTCATCTCCTTGCAAAGCTATGATGCTGAATGTCACTGAACAATCCAACTAAACATAGAACTTACTAGGGCAGATACAAAGTTACTTCAAGAGAAATCACATCAACCCATTTTCTTGTAAACAGACCCTTCCAAAAGGCATCCTAGTAAAGGGATTGTAATACCAACCACTAGAGAGGGCCAGAAGTATTCCATAAATGTGTGAGGGTTTTACTTTATGAAAGACACCAGGCGAGGCATTGTAGTGTGATAAGGAGGTGCTACAGAGGGGCTTACAGCCTGGTAAGGGAGACACAGCGTGTTTATAGCTGAATGCTTTGCGAGGTAAGACGTGAACGTAAGAGGACAGGTAACACACGCTGCCTTGGATGCTTAAAGAAAGATGAGATTACATTTCTTGGAGAAGGTGGCACAGGAGCTGAGCCTTGTCATGGGGGAGGTTTTGGTGGGGGATGGGCAATCTGGGAACAGCAGAGACATGGTTTGTAAAGAGAAGGGGGAGCAGTCGGTGATCTCTCTGTAGGCTGAGCAGGAGCTGGGGGACGCTGGAAATAATGAGGAATGTGTAGGCAGCATTTGAAGGATCCCGCCCCCCCACCAGGAAGTTTACCATGGAGTAAATTCCTAATTCTTTGAAACAACCAGACTACATTTCTTTAGGATGCAAATTGTTCCCATAGGTGTATTTGACAATATGAACGTTTAGTCATTATTAATCCCAGCGCTAGACAGCAACATTTCCCCCCACATCCCAGTAACTTCTGGCCGCTGGGATGGAGATGGAAAGTGTCTGTAAATGGGGGACTCACTCTTTCTTCTTGTCTTCCTTCTGACAGCGGAAATAGCGCATCATAATGCAGCCACCTCCTTGACCCATAAAAGGGCCTTGAGGAGACAGCTTCGGGGACATGGAGGAGCAAGAAAAGAAAGATTCTGAGACCAGGAAAGGCAATATGAGCCCCGTGCTCACCTTCTCTGACTTTCCTGACTATGAAAAACAAGTATCGCCTATCTCAGAGCCGTTCTTTGTTAGTGTTTTGTTTTTTCCTTGTTACTTCCAAATAAATCTTGTGAAATACGTAGCACCAAAGACAAACAATAAGTGCCCAATATAAAGCTAAATATAGTCATTATTTAATTTATTAATTAAAGATTGAAGCACTTTCAGAGCCAGAGAACACATCTGTGGTCCCTGTTTACATGTGTCTTATGAGTTTTAGGAGATTTAGGGGAACTTCTAATATTCTTTCTTTGAAAAACAACTTTAAAATATGTTTGTACACCATGTTCATAACAAACAGCATTATTGACAATAGTCAAAGAGCGCTCCAGTGTTCAACACCGGATGAATGGGTAAGCAAAAGGTGGTCTAACCATACCCTGCAATGTTGTTCAGCCTTTAAAGTAGAAGGAACTTCTGACATGTGCTCCAACATGGATGAACTTTGGGGACATTATGCTGAGTGAGACAAGCCAGTCACAAAAAGACAAATATTGTACGGTTCCACTAATGGGAGGTTCCTAAAGCCATCAAGTTCATTGAGACGGAAAGTAGAATGGTGTTTGCCTACAGTTGGAGGAGTGGGGAATTATTGTTGAATGGGTAGAGAGTTCTCGTTTTGCAAGATGAAAGAGTTCTGAGGATTTGTTGTACAGCAATGCAATGTACTTACCACTGCTGAACTGTACACCTAAACATGGTTAAGATAGTACATTTTGTTGTGTTTTACCTAAAATTCTAAAATAATTTTTCAACTTTTATATTGTCTTCCTCATTATCAGATTAACATAACTGTTGACTCAAATAGTAGGAGATACAGATTAGCAAAGAAAAAAAGTGTGCTGTGTTATATAACCTTACGAGAGTGATTGGCTTTCTGCTAAGCAGTTTATACCGATTACATCATTGAATT